AACCTTCGTCCTATTTCATTAACTTCATGTCTGGGGAAGCTGTTTGAAGAGGTCGTGCTGCAGCGACTTGAAAAGCATGTTGAGGAACAGCAGCTCATGCCAAATATGATGTTCGACTTCCGCAGAAGGGTCTTAGCACAGGACATATTTCTTATACTCAAGGAAGAAGTATTGAATCCACTCTCAGCCAGTCTTGACAACATAGTCTTGGCATTGGATGTGCACAAAGCATTTTACACTATCTCTCACATAATGATATTGCAAGGATTGGAAGATAACGTATTTACCACTACGTTCAAACATTTCTGCACAATTGCACTGCAACTCTCGCATTGGGTTCACTCAAATCCAACCCCTTCAGTCTGCCCAATCGAGGCACACCGCAAGGCTCTGTATTGTCTCCCTTTTTAACGTTGGGCTACGCAAGCTGGCCATAATGCTCACTTATGAACCCCGCTTTGGCTTTGCACTGTATGCAGACGATATAACCCTTTGGACCATCCAAGGGTCCTACGGTGAGCGCCAGGATAACTGCCTTGAGTATAGTTGCAGACTATTTAGAAAAAGCCGGGATTAAGTGCGCACTGGCCGAGTCAGAATACATTCACATACGTCCATATAAGCCGTGGTCTTGCCGAGCACCTGAGCTAACATTTTACTTGGGAGGATTGCCACTCAGAAGAGTTAGCACCCTTCGAATACTTGGCATGCACATTCAGGGAACAACAAGTGTCAAGGTTGCCTTAGATAAGCTGAAGCATACAGTAAAAAGCTCGACGAGACTCATTAGAAGAATCTCCAAAGCAAATAACAGCATGACTGAGCACGACATGCTGAGGCTTGTGCAAGCACTTGTTCTGAGTGGGCTCACCTATGCTCCCCCTTTCCAGACAACCCGGAAAACAGAGCAGAAGCAAGCCGACATATTAATTCGACTTGCGACTAAAGCAGCCCTTGGACTACCTACCAGTACAAGCACACAACACCTGCTGGAACTTGGGGTGCATAATACCTTCGAGGAGCTGGCAGCTTCCACACTCATCTCCCAGCGAGAACGACTCTGTGGCACACCACAGGAGAAATTTCTCTTACAAAGATTCATATATCCTATCTCACCACAATATTGTTCTGAAGCCACCAACCTGCTCTCACAAAATCTCAGACAGCGCATCATGACGCAGCCTATCCCTCGCAATATGCATTCGTACCACCATATAGAACGCCGAAAAGCTCGAGTACAGAGGCTGCAGCGACTGAAGAATCGTCCTGACGTTTATTATAAAGACGTCAGTCCCTACCCTAATCAGTAAGGGCAATCTCATGCTTTTGCTCTCGCTGTAGTCAACCGAGGTAAACTTGTCAACTTTGCCTCCATACGTACCTCATCCTCCGCGTGAGCCGAGGCCACTGCCATTGCTCTCACCATTCGAATGGCAGACAAACAGGGTATCTCTGCTTACGTTGGCTCAGACAGCTTGTCGCATGTACCTCAAGGACATACTACCTACAAAGGCCGTCAAGCTGTTAGGAAACGAACTTTTCTTTGATCATTGGTTAGTCTGGTGTCCGGCCCATTGGGGCCTGGATGGCAATGAACTTGTTCATGTCCAAGCTCGTGTACTCATTGGCCGAGCCCCACTACCACCCGCTGCTGAAGAGAATACAGGCGAAGGATTGACTTGGCGCGGAATCTTAGAGAAACAAAGATTAGATCACCGCATCAGGGCACCTCTCCATAAGAACCTCAATAGACATCAAGCTTGGGACTGACGCTGCCTGCAGACTAATAAATTCCCAAATCTGCATAAGCTTCACATGATGTATCCGGCAAGATATCCCGACGCATGCCCATGGTGCAAAGATACTCCTACACTAACACATATTACCTACAGCTGTCCAAAGCGACCTGCCACAGTCGACATAGGACATACGCACCCAATACATACGTGGTCATGGGAGGCGCGACTCGCTGAACGGACTATGGGAAGCCAACTAGCGGCCCTTGGTCAAGCCTGCCAAGCTGCTATAGCCAGTGGAGCCTTAGAAAAAGGGCGCCACCTGTGATAAACCACTTTTTTTTTTAATAAATGTTGTTTCTCTCTCTATTTCTTGCACCATATTTACCAAACTTGTGTGACAAAGCACTATGAGTGTTTGCGGCCTATTTGTAAAGCAGTAAATTCCAATGAGTTCTGCAAAAGTTACATTTTGGCGACTCAATGAAAATGTGTGTACTTCTGAAAGGTTGGCTTTAGTGCTTGTGTTTCAAAAAAACCAACAAATAGTGCCACATATGGAGTGTATGTATAGCCACACTTAATATGACTTACAACACCGGAATGCATAGCCTTACAAGCTCAAAGACTTTCACGAGCCTTTATTTCTAAAACGAAACACTGTTGCTTCTTCAGAATGATCCTCAATGATAGAATTTGCCTGGAGAAATGAGAGCGAATTGCAGACAAGCCCAGACTTCGAGCTTTTCAGGCTACACATTGCAATGTTTCATTTCTTGCCAGTCATATTGACCACAACAGAGCATTTGTTGTACAAGTTCCATGATGTCCATGCTCATTGCTGCTGCTTTCATTAGCACTATTCAGGGCAGCATTTTATTGTGCAGCAGGTGTTTCCTTTTTTTTTTTTGACTTCCAGTATACATCTTAAAGAACAATCATTAGGATTAACTTCTGGGTTATGATGACAGGCAACATAATTATTTTCATTCATTTGAAGAATTGAGTGGTTGAAGCCATGCGTGTTGCTCCATGTCGAGAACTGCAACTATCAAGAGCAGGGAGACTAGACTATATATTGATGTGGTCGACCAGGCAAGCCTTGGAGAGAAGTCGAGCAGAGTAGCCAGAGCTGATGGCAAGAACTTTCATTGACATTATTTACATATTGATGGTAGCGTGATACTACATGATGGTAACTTGATGGAAGCTCTCGATAGAAGCTTCTGAGAACTTGTCTGGAGCGCCTTGATGCTCGCGTTTTAAGGCCTTGGTTTCCCAGGATTCTCTGCAGGGAAAAACAATGGAGAACAAGGCAGTTCAATGAAGAGATAGTATTCATCTCCGCCCCCAAATTTGAAAAGTCGAACACTGCCTCCTTCCCAACCCAGGAAATAAGGAAGAGGCACGCCCAGTTTGTTCCACGCCGAAGGAGAAGCACAACGCCAGACAATGGCGTTGTGCTTCTATCCTTCCTTCCAGTCTCCACCAGCCTTCCAGAATATATCCTTCCTGTCTTACACCAGCCACTTTTTTTTTTTTTTTTGAGGTGTGCAAATAACAGCATATACATGCAGCCTACTGCTCTGGCCGCGCTTTTCATGGAAACCCTGGTGACCTTGATGGAGCCACGTAGACGTCAGGCTCTGGAGTTTTGCGGACACGCAGCGCCACCTGTCGACGCAGTTTTGAGTAGTGCGAAGCCCGACTCCCTTGCACAAATTGCTGCGCAACTAGGAGCAACTACAGCGTACGAAACAGCGATTGAGCGAAATATTAGATATATTTGCGCATTGAACACTCAGAAAAAGAGCTACGAATTTCTCTCCGCTAGTCTGACGCGTCACCGATCCGCCGTGAAGTGCTCACTGGTTCACACACCTGCACGACGCCTAAAACAAGAGCAGACGCAAAAGCTACGCGCTCTACGAAAAAAGACCTCAGTCTGCGCTACTGTTGAGTTGTGAATTGCCACGGACGTAAATGACTTCAGTTTTACTGATTTATGCAGCTTTCGCAAAGCAGAATGGCGAGAGCGCTAAATACAGGCCATTGCGAACGTGTTGAGTAAGCGTATTACTCGCGTTCTCCACAGACGTTCGCTCGAGTAAGTGTGATAATGTAAATCTCGTAATATTGTTTTGGGTAGCCTTGACGGAGAACCGTGGTAACTTTGATTATGAAGCTTAACAGACCCTCTGACTGCGGTGCGTGACGTGCAACATTAGACAGGTGATGGCCGCTATAAACATCGCACACGCCGCGACCACCGATAATCTGATGGACACCGATGGACGTCCACTGGACAACCACTTCCGGATGTCTCGGTTGTCCGCAAATCGCCGATCAGCGTCCAGCGGACATCCGCAGGACTCTAAGGCACGTACTAATTAGAGGTCCTGCGGGCATCCAGGGCGGATGTTCAACGGACATATAGGCAGTTTTATTGTTTTTGTAACCTGATCTCTACTAAATAAGCATTGGGTAAATAACAGACCATTAGTGGGCACCTAATCGAACATTCATTTTTATTTATAATGCTTAATTGGTGCAGCTGGTCATATATGATAGATGAAGTTCGGTTCAAACAAAAGAACAAAACACAAATGGTGTTTGTCTTGTCTCGTTCACTTTCATGCGGCAACAAGACAAACACCAGTTGTGTTTTATTTGTTCCCGTGTTTATCTTTCCACCACACCTCTTCTATGTGATCAGCTGCACCAATCAAGCATTGTAAATAAAAATGAATGTCCAGCTATGTGTCCAATAATGGTCGGTCATTTATCCAATGAATATCTGGTCGAGGTCGCACACCACTTCCCATGAGAACTTACTAACAATAAAGAGACTTGCATCGTTCCACACTTTTTCACATTTATTCATACAAAAGAACAGGTTTCTACGCATTGCAAACTGCTATATTGCAACTGCCATAAATTGAAAAGCGTCATGACTTATGCCATCACATTTCCCCGAGGCAGCGTGTATGTCTCCAAGATGTAACCATTTGGCCGCCGACTTTCTGTCTCCTCATAGCATCCGTCATGTATGTGTCCCATCTGTTACCGTCCTGTATGTATTTGATATGTAACCATCGGTTAAGTCTTCCAACTGCCATAATTTTGCTACCATGTTTATGTCTACTCAAGTGTGTGTATTGTATGTGTCCTATAAGTAGCCTACCTTTATGCAGATCAGAAATTAGGCCAGTTGATAGCCTGTATGGTGCTGCATAATTGAGGCTGTTATAAGTAACAAGCATGTGAAACTGCAAAATATTTATTTTCATCTACACTGTACAGTTTGGAGCATTTTACAGACAATATTTGAACAGGTAACGTACATCAGCTGGTGGTTGAAAACAAATAAGATTAACACATCAGCCTTAGCACAATGAAGCTTGAACATATCATTGTCACTGTGAAAGTTTTTTTTACTTTTTCAGCATTTTTCTAGGTAATTGAGAGTACATTTATTTCTCAAACACAAACAAATGTTTTACGTAATAAACTCATCACAACAGTAACTTCTGACCAGAAAGCTTTTTTCAAGGCATTCGAAACACTACGGAGAGTATACTTAGATAATATTTGCACACCCAAACTAGCCATGTGTTCTATAATAATAGGTAAAGTAAATCGCAGTGACTTGCTGGGCTTTATAGGCTAATGACCAATGTATGTAGCCTTACAGAGTATAAAAACAGGACAATCATAACATCAGAACCAACTCATGCGGCAATCCTTAAATATTGCAATAAATTAGGAATGTGACGAATACCATCAGTGCACTAGCAGAGATACCTGGTTGGCAACAAACTGCAGTAAGTAGCATCCATCACTGAAAGCAACACTACAGCTCACAACCAGCAGTAGACTTAATGTAACCCTTGACTGCTGAACTGAAGGTCGCGGAATCGAAACCCGGCTGCGGTGGCCGCAATTTTCATCGAAAAAGATAGGCTTGAGTAAGACATAGGTGCATTTCCCACGCAGTCAAAATTTCTGAAGTCTTTCACTATGGTATCGCCGATAATCATATATTGTGGTTTTGATCACGTCAAACCCAGCACTTAGAATTCCTATTAAATATTACACAATATGAGGCAAGCAAATATCATCATGTAGTTTTAAAAATGTCACCATAACACTTTTAATCAATGGACTTAAGTTACAATATTCCAGAATGCCTTCTGTCAGTTATCATTAACAATGTCAAACATGGTTAAGTATCACTAACATATCACACATGGTTAGTTAGGTATTGGCAAAGTTAGGTATGATTAAGTATGACTGTAGGAAATCACTTGATTGCACTTATGGCATTAAATTCTAGAATACAATAAACTAATGTTACAAAACATGTTAAAATAAAATATTTAGCCAATTTTAGAATGAAAATAAAATTATTGATCTACTACTGACTTATCACAATGCAAAAGGTTCAATTGTAAAAGTGATTAATTGCACATGACACACAAGTCTTGAGGGCACCTTACTGTGTAGATTTTGAAAAAAATATATATTCTGTAAAAAACTTTGGAAGCAGCGCTGACACATTCAGATATGTGCTTTGTACTTGCATTAAAATTCATCCTTAAAAATAGAAAACCACCTTTTTAGATCAGTTATGTTTCCAGGGGGACTCTAAGTAAGACAATAATGCTGTCAGCTACCCAATAAACTAAGAATAACGAAATTTCGGTGGCTACAATAAGTGGGTATGTTTGCACAGAAAAGTTTGTGGCAGTTGTGTTTCTACACAATCCCACTTGAAACAATTCTTCGAGCATGTCTATGCTTCGAGATATCCCGATCCGAAGTTCAATTGTGCTTTTCATCATGACACATGCAAGGCAGTGAGGTTCAGCTAACTATTAATCCCTGGTGGGACGAGCACTCACTGCTAGCTATCACCAGCCGGTAGTAACAGGGTAACCATTATAATATTTACCTATGGCTTCGACCCATGGTCAGATTATACGCGGCCCATCAAGGAGTAGTAGCTGTGTGCTAGTGCTCACTGTCCTGCATGCATAATGATGCAAGCTGCAACTGAATTTACTTGCAGGATATCTAAGCACAGGCATGCAAAATTTTTTTGGATCTATGCAGAAATGCGACTGGCTCAAATTTTTAATACATGCATAGGGGCCTGCTGCAGTCTTCACTAAGTTCAATAGTGCATCTTATTCAACGGCACGGCTGACATTAATAAGTATTGTTGCACATTGTATCCCCCTGAACACATAGCTATCTGCAAAGGTGGCTTTTACACACATAACTTACAGCACTGACTTTTTGAAAGAAAAACAAAGGGCTTAATTTTGAACATCCTGAATATGCAGGCTACTTGAATAAAGCAACCAGGTGGCTCAGTGAAGTTCCCTTTTCATAGGAGACAGAAGCCATGTGTAGCTGTTGTACATCTGCAGCCGTTTCCGCGAGCTGCCACTGTTGACAGGCTTGTCCAGAATTCTTTCACGCTCAGTTTGCACAAGGTGCATGCATAGGCTGCAAGGGAAGCACAGAAAAAACAATGTAGTGACATGCGTCTCTTGGCAAAACTGGAATTTTACAGTCTTTTCCAAATGATTTAGAACAATGTATCTTAAATTAGCAGGATGTACACAAACTATAGATGTTACAAAATAAACTTTCTTGGTGTTCTTGGCGAACACAATTGCAACCTTATGAAATAATACGCAATTTCCACATCACAGATGTGTCAAAACCATGCTTATAGCGCTCGTGCATGGTGCTTCGACATGCAAATTCAATGATACCACAACACACACATGATGGTACACAATTTCATTGATTATCTATAGCAGGTAACATATAAAATTAAATGAATTATGAATTTGACTTCAAATGCAGCTAATGTAGATTTCTTCGAGCTCCTAACATTGGAACGATTATACCTATAATGTCAGATGTTAATGTCACTAAATTACTATTGTTTGCTACTAAACTACGGTCATTAGTTTAAGTGATTCTTGTTGGCTAAAAATGCAGTACGCCTCACTTAAGCACCACAGGCTGTCTAATGAAAAAAAAAAAAAAAAACATGGAAATACGTTTAGCAAGGTTTCAGCCATTATGTTGGGCGAGGCGCATACAATATTTATTAAACCAAAACAAAATAACGAAATCCAAACATGGTGGAAACAAGCAAAGCAAAATCTGTGGTGCTCGAACACTTGGACTAATGACCGAATTTGTCCTCGCACAGTAAGGTATAGCGATTCGGCCGCATTTAGCCATGAAATATTCGTTCGAAAATGCAGTTCACGTTTAACGAATAGCTTAAAATGCAGGGGTTGTGGCCGCATCAGGTAATCTATGTTTCAAGTGTATACCGCAAGTTCGAATTTTACTAAATGAGCTGCATAAACACCTAAGCATAATGCAACGTTTGCGGGCCCTACCTAAGACGATGCAACATGCTGCACACGAACACGCATTAACTCACGTATATCACGGTAATAGAGAGTTTTAGTGCTGGGTACCCAAGCTCTTGGGGCGCTGCGGGCTTGGGGGTGCACGGCCTTTCGTACCCAACCCATACCCAACTGGAACGCCTTATAGATGCGCGCACGCAAACGCAAGCCGCACGAAGATCACATGCGCTTGCAGCGCCATAGCGTCTTGTCGCGTAAGTATTACTTAATCATTTTTACAAAGTAACATAAAGTAAACTAGTCTCAACAAATCATTTAAGAATAATATTACAGTTATCAACATGAAACAAAAAAGCTTTTTCGCATGCGCCACGCTTGCGACTGAAGCCGGCACCGTCGATGCCAAGCAATCCAGACGGCCGGTCGTAGTCCAACAAGCGCGACGACAGAGAAACGGTGTAACGTAGAACTCTGTGTAACTTTTAGCTTGCACGTTTACTTTTTTACGTTAACGTGTTACCGGATGCCAGTTTGTGTTTACCGTCTTACCAGACCGCGCCTCTTCTAACGTTTTGAGCTCCTCATAAGTAAACATGTATGCCTTTATGTTTTCGCAAACCATATGTGGTGATGCTAACTGCATTTAAACTTCGTTTAACTTAAATAGGAATGAATCCCCATTGCGGCAAAATCACGATACTTTTTTTATTGTGTACAGTATCCTGGTATACGCAAAAAAGTGAAAAATACAAGGTCACTGAAACGATAGTGTCGACATCTTGTGACACTTCGTGCAACCACAGTCATGGACATGTTGGCTTATGCGTAATGTTTTTGAGGTGAAAATGAATAAAAAAGGTTATTCATTTGTAATAACGTCGCTGCGCGGTTCTGCACCAGACGTACAATACACAATGTTTCTGCAACCACAATGTTGTGATTGGTTGATTATGGCCGCGCTGGATGGCGCCACCTATTCAGCTGGTCGGGGAGGGGGGGGGGGGGGGGGGGGCTGGCATATTTTTAGTTTCTATGTTCCAGACATAGAAACTAAAAATAGCAGTAAACAGAAAGTCGCCATGACACCTAGAAGAAGCAGGTGGCGCTTTTCGTAGTCAATAACTTTTCGCAGTCAAAAAGGTCGTGCAAGGTTAGGTGCGTTCAATTCACCTGCACCGGTCGGAACCGGTTCACGGCTGTGCTCGCGAAGTTCAGAAATTGTGCAGCGTGAGTTCAGCGGTGCAGGCACAGCACGACACCCGAAACAAATGACGATGTGCCGACAAGGTGTTGGCCTTATTTCTTTTCGGTTAATTTACACCATTCAGCAAACACTGACCTATGGCGAAACGCACATGCGGACAGTTTATGAGGCGCAAGCACCTTGGCAAAACACACCGCATTTGTAGAGGCGGGTACGGCGCCTAAGCCACCTACGTCTAAAGTGCTACGTCGTCTGCTCAGCTGAACGCGTGCCTGCACCAAGCCAGCACCATCAGCGACAGAGGTGCAGGAAAATTGTGAACCGGTGCTGCACCTCTTCTGCACCTTTCTAAACAAATGGCAGGATTCAGCGGTTGTCAATGCTGCACCGCTGAAACAAATGGTAAGGTGCAGCACCTTGTGAACTGGTTCACGTGGTGCAGGCGAATCGAACGGACCTGTTGTGCAAGGTCGGTTGGCGCAGAAGCAGCGCGCAACGAGAGATAAGTTTCTATTAATTCCTTTGTGTTTGTGAACACCATTATTATTTTTTTTCGCTCCTAATCAATAATTAGCGTTGCGAGTACTGTAGGTGTGGGACACGGGCAATGTTGTAGTGACGTTGACCACGTGAACCAGATGGGCGGCTGTTTTGAAGAAGGTTGGGGCGCCCGGTTCGTTGTTAAAGAGCTAGAGCCGAAAACGAAGGGGACCTAGTGAGAAGCTACTAGAAAAATTGAACACGTATGTGTGCGGTGTAGGCGGCAGCTTCAAACAGTTGAGGTAGGAGAGTTAACGGGGGCGACTGGATAGCGGGATTAGTGTTGAACGTAGGCCTGTCGGGCACTCGGTCCGATGGTCGGGCGGGCGATGGCTAAGGAGGCTAGGAAAACCACGAGCGAGAGTGAGCTGGTGCAGTGCGAAGAATGCAAGCGCTAGTGCTACTTAGATGAGACAGCGTTCACGAGTTTGGCTGACGCTCAGAAGGCGAGCTTCGTGTGCATGCAGGCTGTGCGAGGCACTGAAGGCGGCCGTGCAGCGCATGGAGGCTAGCATCAAGGGGCTTCAGGGGGAGCTTAGGGCGGAACGGGAGGAGAGGATAGAAGTCCAAAAAGAGCTCGGAGTGTCACGTGAGCGGGAGGAGGCTACCGCCAGCCTATTATAGCAAATGAAGGGTGACCTTCGAAAAAAACGGAAAGGCGGACCGAGCTCGAGCAGCGGGTAAAGAAGCTAATGGCGCCTTGCCCCGGCCCCGAGCGGTGTGAGACGGAAGGCGTGGGTAGCGGAGAAGGCGAGAAGGGAGGTCAGGGGGCCGCAGTGTCTGGCCACAGCACGGAGGCTCCGAAAAACATACAGCTCGGTGGCGCAGCAGTCTTCGAGCAGGGCACAAACACAGGTCAGACGGCAGAGAGAGAAAATGGTGAAGCAAACAGGGGCGCCATCACAAACAGGAAGCCAGCGATTGGAGCGTAGAAGGGTCCTAGTGGTGGGGACTCTAACGTGGCCAGGGTTAGCGTCTTCAAGACAGAGAAGGAAGATGGGAGAGTCAGGGTGGAGGCACAGTCAGGGAAGAGCATGGTGGATGCACTGGCCAAAGCTCAGGAGGTTGTAGAAAACAGCATGGAGGGCGAAAATCTAGTCATTATTCATGCTGGGCTCAATGATGTGTTGAAGGGCATGGATCAGAACCTTCAGAGAAAGCTAGAGGATGGGATGCGTAAGCTCCGAAAAGCCTCTGGGAGGGTGCATGTGACCATATGCACAGTCCCAGAGGTCTGGGGGCGGCCTCGTGGGATGGAAAGGAGGTTAGTGGAGGCCAATTGTGTGATCAAGGGTTTCAGCCGGCAACTCAGATACTGCGTAATGGAAGTTAACCAAGACGTGTACGAGCCGGGCGCTCGCCCCTTTGTACAGGATGACATTCACTACAGTGGTGCGATGGGCAGGAGGGTAGGTAACAGAATGGGCCGCCAAGTCGTAGCTTTTTTAGGGGGACCCAGAGCCCTGAGGCCAACAGTGTAGCCAAAGACGGACCTAAAGGGGCACAAATATTCAAGCCACACGAAGTCCGTGAGAGAAGAAATCGACGTAAGCACAAGGGCTGAGCTAAGTCATACGTAGGCTATATTAACATGCAGGGTGGCAGGAATGGGTTAAAGTGAGAAGAGATAGAAGAGCAGTTGAGGCAGGCGGAGCTGATGGTATATGGGGTTGTGGAGACACATCTTCGGGACCTCGAGCAACCACCCTGCAATCCGGACTACGTATGGGATTATTGCAATAGAACAGAAGGCAGCAAAAAGGGGGGTGGAATTGGTGCATTTATATAAAAGAGCATAGGTTGGCAAAGAGTCAAGCTGGGATGCAAGAAATATTTATGGCTAAAAGGAAAAGTGGCAGGGCAAAAGACACTCCTTGGTTTCGTATACTTGTGGACGGGAGGAAAGGCCAGAGAGGAAAACCAGGCAATGGTAGAGTGTATATCAAATGACATTCAGGAGTTAGGAGGAGAGTGCCAGATAATTATACTAGGAGATATGAATGCACACATAGAAGATATAGATGGGTATACTGACTCAACAGGCAAAATGATCATGGATATGTGTGAAAGGCATGATTTGATCATTTGCAACAGTACCGAGAAGCGTGAAGGGCAAATAACATGGGAAGTAGGAAGGCTGCAATCAACGATAGATTACGCACTGATGTCACATAGGATTTATGATAAGCTCAGGGGAATGCACATAGATGAAGGTGGCTCCAGAAGTCTGGGTAGTGATCACAAACGTATCAAGCTAAGGTTTGGAAGAGCAGCGAAAGTGGGAAGGAGACAAGATGAGCAACTACAGGAAAATTTTCATTCAGAAAGGCAAATAGAAATTGCTACTAAACAAATTGAGAAAGTAATCACTGAGGATAATAAAAATATGTGGAGATACACAAATATAATTAGACTGTTTGGGCTAGAGCTTGCTAAGGCACGTGACAAGTCACCTCGGAAAAGAAGACACAAGCCCAAGAGTTGGTGGGATGAGAAAGTTAAGAGAGCCATAGCAAAACGCCAGAAAGCCTCAAGGGACACAGACATGCTAAGCAACGGGGTGAACCGACAGATGATGTTGAAAGAAAATGGGAAATCTTTCTAAGCTCTAGAAGGGAAGCATCCCACCTAATCAATGAAAATATTAGAAGAAAGGGTGCTCAGTGGCTGGCAGAAGTACATAAAAAAGACAGAAAGGCAGCTGCGAAATTTTGGAGCCATCCAAACTCCCTAAGAAATGAAACAAACCTAGAGCAGAGGTTTATAACTACAGCTCAAAGTGCTAGGATAGAAGGGGACGAAGCTATTGAATATATAAGAACAAGGGTGACATAAAGATTTCAACAAAGAAGTGCCTTATGCACCACAATAGACAGGGATGGATCAAGTGGCATAATGGCTCCATTTTCAGAACGAGAGTGGGAAAAGGCTAAGAAGAGGGTTCCAAGTAGTATCAACAGGCCCAGATGGCACTTTAATTATGTTGATAAAGACATTTGGTCCGAAATCTAAACAGACTTTGAGAGAGGCAGTGAGCAGAACAATAATCGATGGTGAAGTCCCTGATGGAAGGAAACTTAGCAGGATGAGCATGATCTATAAAGGAAAAGGGGACAAAGATGACATAAACAGCTACCGTCCTATAACAGTGACATCAGTGGCCTACAGGCTGGCGATGCAGATTATAAAGGAAAGACTGCAGGCATGGATAGAGGATGAAGGGGTGCTGGGTGAACTGCAGAATGGGTTTCGGAAACACAGGAGTTTGGAAGACAATCTGTTCTCACTGACGCAGTGCATCGAAATAGCAGAAAAGGAACTCAGGCCCTTGTGGCTAGCATTTTTGGATATCAAGGGAGCGTATGATGCATCGAAATAGCAGAAAAGGAACACAGGCCCCTGTGGCTAGCATTTTTGGATATCAAGGGAGCGTACGATAGCGTGGTTCAAGAGGAATTGTGGGGA